ATTTTTACCAAACCTGAGATTGAGAAACCTATACAGAACATCTTCGTTGAAAACCGCAAATCGATTCGACTTCTGTTCAAAAATAATTATTTTCTATTTATGGCCATGTGTTTCGCCACATACCTACTGGGGTGCACCACCACCAATTTGCGGTCTTCGACGAAGTTGTTCTGTATAGTTTTCTCAATCCCAAGTTTGGGGAAAATTGAGCAATTTTTTTAAATGTTGTCAAACAAATGAACAGTTTTGTTCCGTTTCCCATACAATTTTTTAAGCTCTCCCGCAAATCCAGATTGTAATCGAATTCATTCATATTTGGTACAGTTGCTGGGGATCCCAATACGAATCGAAAGAGCTGTTTGGGGTTGTGGTCCGTCATATAAAGTTCATATAAGACCCACCGCGCGGAAACGACCGCGCAAAAACAAATTAAAAGTAATCTCTATAACGGTACTAACAAGTTTTAATATGGTCCAATAATGACAAAATTTGAGCCTTCAATCTAATTTTTTTGCTCAAAATTTAATTTCAAAATTGTGATCCGCAAACAAATCACTTCTTTATATTTTTCAGTTTTATTAAAACTTATTTATGAGATGAATTCAGCACATTTCCTGCACTAGGTTTGCTTTATTTGAGCAGAAACTTCTTATAAGAAGTTTCTGCTCAAAAAAGCAAACCTAGCGTTCAGAATCACAAGGGCCTAACTGCGATGATCGATTCTTTTCATCGATTGTCTCTTCGTATTACTACACTTAAATGAAACAATTTTCCAACATTTTTCCAATTCACTTATGTAAAAGGTTGTATTGGCTAGCAAAAGCAACAGAAAACGCACCGAGAAAAGTTAATCCAGCCGAGATATTATCAAAAGAGAAAATGGATGCAGAGAATCGACCATCGCAGTTAGGCCCGTATGATTCTGAACGCTAGAAATTGTGTTCACATACAGTTGTTTTGAAAAGATCAACCAGCGATCTTGTTCCAAAGACTTTTTTCGATACTTGTGGCTGCTTATTAGACCCAATCTAGGGACACCCTATTTCGTTTTGAAAACGAAGCTTTTAAAGGCTGACTAAAAGTAAATTGGTACGCCCCTCGCTCACCGCTAGCACGCCTCTACCTAGTTACCTCTATGCCTCTACTGTTACCTACTATGCCTCTACTGTTACCTACTAGTAACCTCTATGCCTCTACTGTGTTACCTGACTTATAACGAATATACGTTGTATACGAGTACCCCGAATACAACGTATAGTTCGTCTAATTTTACATTGCAAATGCTATGCAAAATTAGACGAGTCATACGTTGTATTCGGGGTACTCGTATACAACGTATATTCGTTATAAGTCAGGTAACACCAAGGTTGCAAAGACTCATTTCAGCTAAAACAATGTTTTTCTAAATTATGAAATAATTAGATGCCATGATCACATTTTGAATTGGTAGGATACAAGAAGAGGTTGCAAAGAATGTGTTTGACATATTAAACCTGTTTATTTCACTTCATGAGAGTCACAATCAGCGATTTTTCACAAACTCACTCACTCACTCACTCACTCACTCAGCGATCAGCAAATCGCTGATTGTGACTCATAGAAAGCAAAATTTACAGGTTTTATGTTTCCAACGCATACTTTGTAACCTCTTCTTGTAAGTTACAAGTAAAACATGCCATCATACCATCTTTTGGTTTTATTATTCCGAAAAACATTATTTTAGCTGAAATGAGTCTTTGCAACCTTGGGTAACACATTAGTGTTGGGAATCGAAAATCTTTGATAGTGGTTTGTTTACACTTCTATAGAGAACAACTGGTGCAAGTTTGATCAAAGTAGTCGATCGCGTTCAGAAATAACGTCAAATGGAACTCGAAAGAAGAAAAAATATTGTGCACAAACACCTGGAAAACCCGGAGTGGTCCAGTTTCAAGCTTGGCTAAAGTGCTAAAGATGCCGAAAACAACAGTTTGTCGAGTGCTCAAAACCTACAAGGAAACCCTGGGTTTGGAAAGGAATCAGCGGAACTACGAAAATAATGGAACCAGGGATCGTCAGCTGCGCAGTAAGGTGTTGAGGTGCGTGCCAACTTTCAAACGGTGCGGAACATCCTTGCCAGGAGGATACAAGTCATACAAAGCCAGTAAACATCCGAACCGGCACGTTCCGGGGCCAAAAAGCGTGCAAGGCGCTTGTACGACCGTGTTTTGATGAAACACAAGGGCTGCATTTTGATCGATGATGAAACATACGTCAAACTCAATTTTAAGCAGCTTCCCGGTCAAAAGTTTTACCAACCTAACGTGGAAACTAACGATTTAAAATCGGCTCACTACTTGACTAGCCTATTGGTCCCAAGCAAACGATTAACGTACCCCATTCTAGTCAAAATTCTAGTGCTACACTATGTTTGTTTTGATTTGCTATGAAATTTTGATAGATAAAATGAGGGGCTCGTGGATTTTCCTATGTTTTCGATGCACCGCGATTAGCTTGGGTCCGAAGAGAGTACCAGAGCTGAGCCAAAAAGTTGGGCACGTTTCTTCGGGACCTTCTGGTCTTAGAGTTACCTCTATGGTTTTACATCGCGACTGGACGTGGGGATGTGCCGATGAAGTTGAAGATTCAAGTTCGTTTTTGCCGACAAGTTCGCGAAGAAATCCATGATTTGGCAAGTGATTTGCAGTTGTGCCCTGAAAATGGAACCATTCGTCACATCCTCGACGATGACATCCCAAGTTTACATCGAAGAATGCCTGAAAAGGCGTGTATTGCCGTTCATCCACAATCATAGGGGCAAAGTCATCTTTTGGTCAGATTTGGCCGCCACTACTCCAAGGTTGTTCTGGAGTGGATGCTGCCAACCAGATCGATTTTGTCCCAAGCTAATGAATACTCTGAATTGCCCGGAATTGTCCGTTTTCACAGTGCGGGCGCTGATGGGCTCCATCAAGAGGAAGGTTCGAGATTTCGTTCGAACTGGAGAAATGTAACCATCTAATGCTGTAGCTTTGAAGTTTTAATAAAAGTTTACAGGTCTTTTTGTGCGTACCAATTTACTTTTAGTCAGCCTTTAGTTACTTATATGCTTGCACTTTTTTCAAATATCAATTCAGATTTAAAAATAAAACAAGTTATCAACGTGTTTTCAAAAACATAATTTAATATCATCAACGACTTTGCTCGGTACTAGGTACTATGAAAGATAACCATGTAGAAAAATGGAAATAGAGATGGTAGAAGGCTTGTACGAGAAAAAAATGCACCTTTTTTATCCGTGGGTAAAAATTGAAGAAAACTAGTTTAGAGTGAATTGTTTACATGTGCAAAATTTCATAACAATCGGTTCAGTGGTTATTGAGATGTCATCGAAACAAGAAGAAAATCGCCGGAGAATTTTGCGCGCCGTCATGGAAAATCCGACTGCGACCATGAGATGGATCGGAAGGCAACTGGGAATCACCCATACAACTGTGTCTCGGGTGGTAAAATCGTTTAAGGAGTCCCAGACGACCGATCGGCGGGCTTGAAGTGGAAGAAAATCGAATACAGCTGACCCTGTGAAGGCCCGGAAGGTGTTGGATTATTTCAAGCGTAATCCGAACCTTCGATTCGCTCTGAAGGCAAAGTGTTCCGCCTGGTTCGTTCAGCAAACCATGAAATGAGCTAGGCTTCGTGTATTCAAGGTCCGGAAGGCACCGAACCGGCGTGATCAACAAAACACGGCGGCCAAATCCCGCGCAAGGAAGCTATATCGAGAGTGGTTAACGAAACCGATGTGTGTGGTTATGGATGACGAAACCTACATTAAGGCAGACGCAAAGCAGATACCGGGGCTGGAGTTCTACGTTACCAAATCACGGTTTGATGTTCCGGAAGACATAAGGAAGAAGAAAGTGGACAAATTCGCCAAAAAATACTTGCTCTGGCAGGCTATATGCCAATAGGGTAAACTGAGTAAACCCTACATCACAATGGGTACCATCAACAGCGAAATTTACCGCACCGAGTACCTCCAGAAGCGTCTGTAGCCCTTCCTGGGGTCCCACGGAGACGAGACATTATTTTGGCCGGACCTGCCATCATGCCATTACGCGCGATCGACGTTGGATTGGTACAGAGACCAAGAGTACCAAAAACCGCCAACCCCCCAAATTCACCAGAGATTCGTCCGGTGGAAAGATTTTGGGCCATAATGAAGGCCAAAGTTCGAAAATCGTCCAAGGTGTTTAAGAACGAGCTAGAGTTGAAGAAAGAATGGATGAAAGTGACCAAAAAGGTCGGCTCCACGATTGCACAAAATGTAATGAGGGGTCTTAAGGGAAAGGTGCGGGCTTTCAGCGATCGAAAGGAAATTGAATAAAGTAATTATACCGAAACATAATCCATGTGTATTAGTTCATTCCCTGAAAGTTTCAAGAAAATCCGACTTAAAATAAATTTTTTGCGAACACTTTTGTCTGGTGCATTTTTTTCGAGTACAAGCCTTAGATCAAGCGTAAGAAAGAGTTCGAAATTTCCTCCTAATACCACCAAAAATAACGAGTTATTCTTAGGATTGCGTTTTAGATTTTCCCCCTCATGTTTTTTGGAAGGTGGTGTCCATAGTAAAAATTATCATTTGTTCCAGTCTGAATGTTGGCGTGACTTAATACCAGGCTTAATACCATAGAGGTAACTAATAATACTCTTCCCATATCTAACGCAAACCGTTTCCTCGTATCCCTACAGGTTCACGGCCGCTAGCCAACCCTGTCATTAGCACCAACACACAAAATCAGTGTCTGTGTTTCCATCCGAATGCAACTGCTCTCCGGGAAAGAGCGCCAAAAGTGTTCGCGAATCGCATTTGGTGGTCGGTGGCACCTCCGCTGACCCGCGACGACACAGCCACGGGAAAATGTGAGCAGAGCAGAACTCACACAACGCTCAGGTGAGAATTTTATGCCTTCAGGGGAGCGGATAAGTATACTTTTTATAAATCTCACTCTTTCACCCAGTCAGCCAGCCAACGGTGAGTGAGAGCGTGCTCGACAGCAGACCGAAGCGTACGCAACTTAATTTCTATACGACGTTCCTGGACTGGGCACGTCCATCGGTTAGTACGAATCAAGCGAGCAACCTGTTCGGACGGAACGTTCCTCCGCCGTGGTCAGTCAGTCAATCAGTGGTCAATTGTGTGGTGGTGTTGTTGCACATTGTAAGTAGAGTCACCGTTCGTGAAGTGAGCGGGATTATGAGTGTGATGAGAGGTGGTGTTGAAGGTGGTGTAGATTTGCAAGGGTGATCTTACAAGTCATTCTGAATGAAGTCTAAGTACGCGAGGCGGAAGAAGTCGTTGAAAACTGAGAAGAAAACAAGTGTCTGTGGTTGAAACGATTACTTTTTAGTATGACTCAAAAGCAGTGAAGAATTCGGGAAACATTGGTAGCGCTCCGAAGCGAAATGTTTGCTCAAGTTTCTACTGGAAAAAAAACGAAATGCTATACTAACAGCGTGATAGTGGAAGAAGACCAGATAAGCTGCTTTTGTAAATCCTAAATTGAATAATAACCCAATTAGGGCCAGCTTTAAATCAAGTGAATTTGTGTACACACAGCGCACTTTATTCGCGTTGCACTTGGCAGCAGAGCAGAGCATAGATCGGAGTAGGCCATCGACGGCGTGAAATGCGTATCACCGCCTACTATCAGACGACCGGCTATATAGACAGTGAAGATGCACAACTCTTCTCCCTCATAGGGTGACCAGAGAGTGAGACGTAGTAGGCGTGCGATAGAACGGGAACGTGCGATGTTGACTATGGTGCGGTAACTTCAATGCGGGTGGAAGCGACAAACAAAGCAAATGTACCTACGCAATGTGACTGACCTTCGACGAAATGAACGATCATGTGCCCTCATCATATTTTACCTGTCGCCGTCGGTCGGGTGGTCGGACGACATCACTTCAAATATTATTGTATCTTTATGGGGAGGGAAGTATTTATCAAGTGCATTCCCTGCAGTCCTCGCCACGGCACGGTCTCTTATCGGACTTTGGTGCCGTTTTTTACGGCTCCGATGTGTGTACATTAGGGCAGCTACCACGCCGGGCGGTTAGAGGGATAGAGTTGTCACACACGTAGCTGTGAGGTTGAATCGAGAAACGGAAGGCGATGATAGATAATGGAAAAGTTGGTACGATGATAAACTTAATAACGACGCTCAACGATGTAGTGACGCTGGGCAGGAGGGTTGTCTGTCGGATCGGGAAAGAGATGTCCCGCTGCGCTGTTTTTTTTTTGCTGCACGATTGATCACAGCTTATGCGACCCGCACACGCAATATTGAGATGATGGCGGGATTTTTTGGTGCAAATTTTACACCAGAAATTATTACTAAATTTTGTTTCTCTATTCAGCAGTAGGGTGCAAATTTAAGACCAACAATTTTCCGAAAAGCTTGCCCATCCGTTCACTAGAACGGTACATATTTTCCAACAGAAATTTTCAGTATAGCTTAATTTTAATTATCAGAGCGATGCAAATTTTGCACCAGAAATTTTCAATAAAGCATGCTCCTCCATTCACCAGAATGATGCACCAATCATGTTCAGTGAAGTTTGTTTCACCATGCATCTTTGTGGTGCAATTTTCAGGCTTTAGCAGAATGGTGCAAATTTTCCACCATGAATTTTCAATAAAGCTTGCATTCATCTGAATGATGCAAATTATGCACCAGAAAAATGAATAAACCTTGCTTCTACATTCACCACAGTCTTGCGAACTTTCCACCAGAAATTTTCAGTTAAATGTGCACCTCCAAATTTTTAGCGTGATTCAATTTTTCCACCAGAGTTATTCATTTTGATCTCTCCATGCACACCCTTGATAATATTTTTCCACCAGAAATATGCAATCAAAAAAAGCTTTTTCTTCGATTTACAACGACGTAGGTGTATTTTTTCAACCTTAAATTTACCCTCTTCTTTTACCATCCATGAACCACCTTGAAAAAAAATTACACCAGAAATTTTTTGTATGCACCACTGTGGTGCAATTTTTTGACCAGTGGTTTTCAGTGCCCCTTTATTATGAAATGAAGCTATTTTACCTTCAAATCAAGTTGTCAAGTTATTTTATATTCTTATTTTGTAAACGTGAAAATAAAAATCTTTTTTATAAAAGGGGGGAATTACCCCCACCTTGCCCCACCCTGTGCACGCCAGTTTCACAATCTCAAAATTCTGTGTAGAACATTTTAGGATTTACTTCAAGAAAATTCTTAAAATCTACTTTAAAGTAATCGGTGTAGTTTTGAAACTTCTCGATAGAATTTGCTTAGATTTCTCTCCATATATATATATATTTAAAAAATTCTCATGGATTCCTCCTCAGAAATCTCTTGTTGTTCCCATTAGAATTGAGAAACCCTAGAATTCTCCTCATATGTCCCTTAAAGTTTAGCTCAGAATTTTCTTGAAATTCTTATCAGAATTGTCTAGGAACTATTCTGAAGATTCTCCAACCATTGGAATTCACCCCAGGGTTTTCCCTAAATATTGTCGCAACATTACCTTGGAATTCATATCAGAATTTCATGGGACTGTTTCTCAGATTCCATGAAATTGTTTTCAAAAATGCCTTTGAGCAATTTGTTGAAATTTCCTCTTCGGAATTATTTTGAAATTTTCCTTGGAATTCCCTTCAAACTATTCTGAGAATTCGATACACATGGATTTTTCTCAGAATTCGATTGGATCTTTCATCTGAATCTCCCTATTATTTTTTCCCACAATCCCCATAAAAGTCTCTTCAGATATACCTTGAAATTCACCTCTAGATCTTCCTACAATTTTGTTTAAATACTTCTCAAAAGTATTTGGAACTTCAGGAGTTCTCCACAGAACTAATTTAGAATTATCTCTAGAATTCTTCTACAATTCTCTACAAATCTCATTTGGCAGTCGCATTAAAGTTGAGTACACACGTGTTCAAAGTCGCAGAATCCTAAAAATTTGTTCTGGCCATGACTTTTTTTAAAAGTCTGAGATCTTCAATTTAATTTTTCGGTGTCTGAAATCTCTAAAAAATAAAGAACATAAAACAGTCCAAAATCCCAAACAAAATATCATGTATTCTTCGAAAAATGCCTTAATCCGAGATCCCACCGTGGTTCTATTTGTTTCCTAGATAAATTTTCAAGTTCAACATGCCATAATTCAGCGAATACCGGTTCATCAAGCCGGAGATTTATTTTAGGACTACGTCTGTGATTTCTATATGGGGCTACACTTTGTGAAAACCGAAAATGGAACTCATAACAACATTATGAAAGATTTTGAACGTTAATAACTCAGCTGCCCCTGGACCAATTTCAATAATTTTATCATCAATCGATCAGAAATATGTCTACGCATCATCACGCATGTTAAAATTATGACTTTTTCATTTTTCAAAATATTGAAAATTGCACGAATGTGCAACTGTTGCTAAGATAATTAAAATTATCACCGATTGGCTGCGTAAAGCGAATTCCCTAACACAGATTTCAAAACTAAATTCCATCCGGTCTCACCAAACGGTGTTTATGCAATCACCGCGTGGTGAGTGGTGGTGTTCTCCAGTACACAACGAAAGGCTCTCCGCAAGCAGCTAACTATCAAGGCTGCCCTGAACCGCTGATCAGATTCAGTTCCAATCACCGTGTGTGGTGGTGGTTGAACAGCAGCTTTTCGAAATTCTCGATCACCAACGGGTTCATGACTTCACAGCGGATAAGAAATCGAAACGACAGTTCCGCGAACCAATCTGGTAAGGGAAGTACGCCCGCAAGTACTGCCAGACTCATTGTATGCGTCGATTGCATACAACCTAGTGCGATTCGAATACAACGATATTGAATCCGTTGCAGCTTCAAGATGCATGTGGGATCGAACCAGACACCTAAATACTTGATTTTTCTACCCATGAGTTGAAGCTGAAACTGTGCTGGATAAGGTTCCTAGAAAAAACAACCATCTCAGTTTTCTCCGGAGAGAATTCGATACCCAGATTCATTGCCCATGTAGATAAATTGTCCATGTATCTCGGAGACCACGCCGTCATCTGCAAGCTGCCTTAGCGTGCAATTTTCGGCAAGGCAATCGTCAATGTCTTTGGCATAGAAGTTGTACAGAAGGGGACTTAGACATGAACCCTGCGGGAGGCCCATGTAGTTAATTCGTGAAATTGCCGAGTTCCCATGAGAGAAGCTCATTTGTTTCTCGGACAATAAATTGTACAAGAAATTATTGATAATAGGTGAAAGCGCACTGGAATGGAGTTTGTCCGAAAGGATGTCGATGCAAACATAATCAAAAGCCCCTTTAATGTCCAAGAAAACTGAACCCGTAATTATATTTAATTATATTATTTGAGTAGTAGCTATACTGAAGATCCGAGAGATGTCGCCCCTTCAGTGGTAGGAAAATCATTTTTGCAGTATGGAGAATATCATAAAATCCACGATTTGGGACTAAACATGCTTTCACAGAAGGAAACAAATAAACGAGTGTTTACCTTATCACCATAGTAATGTACTCGTGCAATTTTTGTGCACCTAAAACTGCCCAGAAAGACGATAATGAATAAAAACTGAATATTTTCATGCATTTCCAAATGGTTTCCTACCATTCCCATACATTCGAAGTGACTGGCCCTCTGGAGGTGGATGATGTCAAAAACAACAAAACATGATTGATTGGATTTTTAGTAGAAAGCAACGCAAGGCAGTCGTTCGTCCCTTTGCCCCTTCGAAATCCAAGTTGTGTATCTGAGAGGAAGCTATTCGCCTCGATCAGTTTATTGGAACCATTTGAAACTACATACATCGATACATTGCCGAGTAATGATTTTTCGAATAATGCCATTACACATTTTATCGGAGGCATCGTGTTAAAAGAAGCAGACTAACTTTTATTATAATCTGTCAAACCTTAGAGGAGTTAAGCAGAACTTCCGAGAAATTAAAGGGGAAAACTCTTCAAGAGAACCTCAAAGGTAAAGCTCAACACTTTAAGCCTAAAAGCTCTTCAAAGAAGTTAATAAATCTTTAAAAAGGAATCTTCGAGAAGTTTACACCGTGTCTAATATATTCTCATACACCTTTTCATCTTATCGTAGTGGTGAAGCTACAGTTCATACACTTTATATGGATTGGTGTAATCTTGCACTGTGTT